AAAAAGGTGGAAGAAGATAAACGAGCGAACAGCATCGTTCCACAGACTAAAATACAAATCTTTATCTCTTGTTTATTCCTTAACCTTCATCTTCACAAAAGCAGTTTGCTGCCATTGTTCAACTCAAGCATCCCCTAGTTCACCTGGAGGCAGGTGAAATATAGAATGCAGCTGACATAAACACGTGAATGTCTGCTGGTAAAATTGCAAAATACAAACTTATTATGTAAGATTTGAAGTTTTCACAGCGGTGAGTATGAAGGTTTCTGTCTTCTGGGTTGAGGCAGTATGACCTCTGAAACGCTGATGACGGAGGCAGTATGACCTCTGAAACGTTAGTAAACATCGACCAGACTACACAGCGCAACAACTCAGAAGACAGAAATCTTCACAAACATATTACATCACATAATTATTTATGTGACACAATGTCTTAGTCTTTAGGAGAAATCATGACCAGGAAAGAGAAAAACTTCACCTTCTTTGTATTTGTCGCCATTCTGTTTATGGACTTTGAGATGGTTTTAAATACTCTACGGAGGTGGGATTTAACAGCAACATTTACAAATTGCAGCATTGTCACAATACATCTATGGTAATTTTATTATTAATAATAGGGGTCGCTCCTATGTTTTAACTTTAGTAACTACCAGCGTACCTATCTATGCGCCTTTAATTTTAAGATATTTTGCTGAAAACAAAATTAAATGGTTAGACTTCAATAAGTTTATTTTAAACTAGCGTCTATCGTACATTGTGTAACGAACGATGATGACGTTTATCGAAATATGTCATATTTAAAGTAAATAATATTTTGAACACATTATACCTTGTGTTGACATCTCCCTTTACACCTGTACGAGTAATAAAATCCATATATAGTACTATTTCACCATTACCACCAATACTATCTAAAAGAAACAAACCTACCAGTTACCTGCCCTTCTTAAACATCGAACAATCTGAAATCTCCTTTTTACTCTGAATGAGTTAAAGAGGCTAAGATATATAAAAATATAAAAAAAATACGTTGCTTTATACAGAGCACACGATGTCATTATGCCGGCTTTTATTTGTACAACGTTTCTCGGTGATAGACTTAGCATCCATCTTGTTTATTACATAACCTAGTAAGCAATGCCAGCGCGAAGTTTTCGATACGTTTCAATGAACCGAAAACCCTGAACACCAA